TCTGCACTTTCTTTAGCGCCATGTGGATTAAATAATGCTGTAGAGTACTCTCTGTGTTAAAAAGTACACAATGGGGGCTGGGGATTTAGCTCAGCAGGCATAAGCGCCTGCCTTGCAAGCTGGTAGTCCTGAGTTCGATCCCCAGTACCTATAAAAAGGAAAAAGACAAAAAAAGTACATAATGAAGCTTCACAGAAAGTGATCAGAGATCTGTGATCATGATGTAAACTAGAGGAAGCCACACTGTGTGTCGGAGTGGGGAAGATGCCACAGTCTAAGTTCGTCACCTCATCAGATTTCAGGAACGGAAGCAAAATTTTGTTAAACGCTTTTATTTATAAATCTAATTGTTTGACTTGTGAATGAAGGTATTACTGCTTTCTTTCTCTAACCATATTTTACTTCACTTGAATTGACTACTAGATCTTTTAGAAAAAGATTAGTGGCATATCATTTTTGTGTCTTTTAGAGTAAGTGAATATATGCAAATATATTAAGCATTTATAAAATATTTAATATTTGTTGTAAAGGAAACATTAAAATATTAACAATACTTTTTTTCTGTCTTTTTAAAAAATTTTATTCCAAGAAAGACTACACAAAACAGAAAATGGGTAGAAATAATACATACTTTCAAAGAAAAAATAAACAGTAAGAAATCACTAGTTGATGATTACATATTGTCCTCTTACAAATAGTTGTTCAAGATACAAAAGTGAAACAAAGTGGGATTCAAACAAACAAAATTAAGAGCTATAAAAGCATAAGTGATTTTATTTTAAAGAGTGAAAAGTAAACAAAAGAAAAACAATACAGTTTCAAAACAAAATAAATTAATAATGGTTAACATATTGCATATTGTCTTCAAAGTAGTTGCTCAGATTACAAGATACGGGATGTGAAATTAATCAGTCAACATAATGACCAACAGATTCCTTTAATGAACTAAAAGAAATTAATAGTATAATGATGTTAACTATCTTGTATATATATTTTCTTTTCCCTTCCTTCATTTCTTTCTTTCATCCCAGTTCTTCTTCCCTTGTGAGCAGTTTCTTTCCCTTTCTCAGTATCTATTGCAGATTTTCTATCTTACGTTCTGTTTTAGTCTCTTACACTATGAAGACAAGGCAGTGCTTACAAATGCACATTTGATTTATTTCATTATGAGTATAGACTCCAGCTGTACCCAATTACCTATAAAAGCTTTGAGTTTATCTTTCTTTGTAGCTGAGTAGTATTCCATTATATTAAAAACACCACATCTTTTTTATCCATTCCTCGGTTGATGGGCATTTGGGTTTTTCCAAGATTCAGCTATTATAAATTGTGCTAAAAGCATGAGTGATTTTGATTGATTTCAAAGGCATTACTGTAAATCACACGGGAGGAACAAATACCTGAGACATGTACCCTCAGTGAATGAAATTAAAACAGAAATATCACATTAAAAATGCAGGTCAGTATTACAAGGTAAGATTATATCAAGGGTTGTAGGCATGGAGTTTCTTTTTAAGAAAATATTGCTACAGTCTGAAGAAACAATGGAAAGTTACAGATATGCATTCATTCCTAAAACAAAGCTGTTTTTTCAAAGCTATGAGTTGGAATCTGAGAGTGTGGGGAGTAGACCTGTATTCACTTACAACACTTGGGGGAATGAGACAAAGTTATACACAGTCAAAAATGTCACCCACTACTTAGATTTTTAAAAGAAAGGAAAAAAGAGTTAATGGAAGAATTTCTTATGGGAAACCTTGGGCCCTACCTTTTTTTCCCCAAACAACATACCATATTTTCTGAGATGGTGTAAGTTGAGTGTTGAGGTATAAAAATTACCCTTTTATTAAGTTACATTGGTTGCATTATGAATTTTTGTTACAAATAAAAATGTATTTTAATTCTTGAATTTAAGACAGAATTAAATCAAATATGGGTCAAACAACTAAACTTGTACCTGAACACAATGTACCTGAACACATGAGCAGAATTTCATTTGAAATGTCAAGTCTTTATCACTTGACTGCACCTTTACAGGCACTAATGCAATATACTTTATTTGACCTCGAGTGCCCCAAGAGAGATGAGGAAAGCAGAACCAAATGGAGGAGTAATTTGGGATCAAGCTACTTGAGGGTTTAAAGTATTTCTCAACCCTTTAGTCTGGGAGGGAGCTGCTAAACTGTCAAGGACATCTCCAATTGTTACTGTGGTGGAAATCAAGGATTCTCCATTTCAGCCGTTTTCAAGAAGACATTCTGAGACTTCACATAATTTATCCTTCCTGTGCCTACATTGGTTTTAAAAGAATTACATTTTTTCTTTTGTGTTGTATTTAGTATGCTCTGAGAGAGGGTGCAGGAAGTTTTCCTTTAAGCCTCTAAACTTCTAAGATAATAGCCTCACAATTTAAAGAGGAGTCATCTTTGTATTCTACAATCAGTATTAGCTAGTCTGCTATTTAGAATTATATTAGGGAATGATGGAATTACTATGATTGATAATTGTATGTTAACTTTTGCAAACAGCATAGTTCTCTAAACCTAGACTTTAGTGCAAAGAGAGAATGTTGAGAAGTACTTTCTCAGAGGCTGTGTTTTGATTATCTATACTTCAATATTTTCTTAAAATCTCAATTTTTATATGAACTCTTCTATAGCAACCCTAAATTCTGGACCTACAATGTAATCAATGAATCTGTATAAAATAAATGAATGTTAACACTGTTTCTTTTTCAATTAAAAGATGATTCTTATTTTAGGAATTTAAAACCAAGGTCAGGCATAAAACTTGTAATTTCATGTTAAAAAGACATGTAACACATGTACATTCCGAATATAATTGGAAAAGTTCCATTTTTTCTTAGTCATTGCTGATTATTTTCTTGGTTACTTTTCTCTTGTTGGTAGGGCAAAATATCTGACACCAAAAATTAAGAAAGGAAAGGTTTATTTAGCTTACAGTTTGTGTAGGCTTCAATCCATAATCAGCTGGCTCAAAAGCAGGGTGGCCTGGCACAGGGGAAACAGTTTAAGGCAGCAGAAGACAGCAAAAGCAGAGCAAAAGGTGGAGGAGAGCAAGCCTCTTTTCCTCTTTTATATTGTATGCAGTCTACCCCTCTCTATGCTGAGTATAGCACTCACACTATCTGGGTGCCCTCCTCTCTCATAGGATGAGGATGTTTACCAAGTGAGGACTCTGGCCCCCCGCTGAGTTGTTTAAACTTGTAGACTTCTCAAGTTGACACAATGCATCACCATTACAGAGACTCAGCAGGGAGCCAGCGTTCTTACTTTGTAAATATCCTCCTCACCTGTGCAAAGGAGCCTAAAGAGGTTTATGAGTGCTACACCCACACTAGAGGAGTGGTGGTGGCCCACGTACAATATTGGCCAGAAGTGTTTTGTTTTCTCCTTTTGCTCTGGCTGCTGCCTTGAAGTGTTGCCCCAGTGCCATGCCACCCTGCCTGTGAGCCAGCTGATCATGGATTGAAATTTCCAAAAACCATAAGAAATAAACTTTTCCTTCCTTCATTTTGAGTGTCCGGTGTTTTGTCCCAACAACAAAAGAAAAGTAACCAAGACACAGTTATTTCTCTTTGATCCAAAGGTTTAGAGGTTTGTTGTAAAGCGTATATTCCGTAATTAGGAAGACATACAGCTTTGTGGTTCACTAGATTTAATCTCAATATTAAATATGGTTAAGTAGATACATTTCATTTGGGACTATTGTATAAGTTTTATCTAATTAATTAGTTCCACCTCAGGTTACAATAACACTGTACACACTTATTTGGCGTCAGGACTTTAGTCCATAATTTCCAAGGCAATATCTACTAAGAAGTATATTTCAGAACCTTAACTCTAATTTATAAAAAAGAATCAATTCAAATAGCGAGGTCAAATTGAGATAAATTATGAAACATTTAAATACATTAATACAATGAAAACATGAAATGCTATCAATGGAAGTTACTAGTCATAAATTCTAAGTTGTCCTCTATTCAGAGCTAGCAACATTAGTACGACTAAGTAACATTCACAAAGTTGCCGTTTTTAAAAAAATCACAAAATAACGCCCCTTTCCCATAATTTAAGTTTAAAGGCAAAGACCACTGGACTACGGGGTACCATTCTTTTACTATTGTTGTACATAAACACAAAAGTTAATACCATTCGAAAACAAACAATTCTACATAGATACTCTAATATTTGAAAAGTGGCAAAAAGCCTGGTGATTTTTATGGCTTCTCACCTGCCACCTGTTGTGTGTTCTGGACTCTATTTCTGTAAAGCAGTTGGATTTCAGCGTTAATTCTGTGCTGTCTGTCTCCCCGGTTCTGCTCACTCGGTTTATTCAGTCCTGGCAGAGGCTCACTTCTTAATGCTAATGTGTAAGATGCAGCGTTTATGTGTAGCCCCACCAAAGCCCGCTTGGCAAATCATATTAGAATGTGTGGTTTATAGATCACAGACTTTGAGTCTTACATAAGTCAACTTCCAAAGTGGCAAGAGTACAGTAAGTGACGGGGACAAGAGTTGAACCCCACGAGTCTTCTGCTTTGAAATTAGTTTTTCTTAACACATGGACATTATTTATTTATGATTATTTCACTGTTTGGTAAGGTCTCAAATTATATCCAAAATTCTTTCCAACCACTTGGGAGTAATCTCTTTGCTGCTCTGTGGAATCTAGCTGAGCCTTCCAAAAGACTCTTCTGACACAATACTGCAAGCACAAAATACTCAAAGACGGAGTCTCTGGAGCTCAGCCCTTCTGCAGGGCTCCGGGGCGGATCCCTCAGCAGCCCTCACACCGCGGCCTCCGTGTCTCCCGCCCCCGGCAGGCTTACCTGCGTCGGAAAGGGAGTTCCGAGAAAATCGCTAGGACTGGAGCGCGTAGGGTCCGCTCGCGCTCGCTTACCGCGGCTGCCGCTAGACCTCGGCGGCCGCAAGCCCGGCCTTCACCCCGACTGCCCGGGAGGAGGCGCTCCCGCTCACCTGCAGGGCGTGGCGGGCTGCGCCGTGACCTCCGAACCGCGGGCCGGAAGGCCCTGGAGGCAGCGCCGGGTTCTAATCTCATTTCCGGCCCGTGTGGATCTGGACTATAGGTCAGTGGGGTACAAGGAGGGAACCCCACTACGGCTGAGCTCGGAGCCTTCTCAGTCTCCCCGTCCCGCGGAACCCGCGCCTCCTTTCTGCGCACGCGCGCCGTCGCCGGCACGACCGCTTGAGCTGCGGTGGGGCCGAGGACCGCGAGGGGACCAGGGGCAGTGCAGCTTTGCCTCCGTGCCTCCAGTCTCCAAAGACGCCGGAAACATTCAGATTGTCAGATGATAAATGCTATCGAATTACAGAGTGCTTTTATTTACACACACACACACACACACACGCGCGCGCGCGCGCGCACACACACACACACACACACACACACACACACACACACACACACATACACACACGAGTGCGCACACGCATGCTGTGGGCCCTTCCCTGGCTCCTAGGGGGAGCCCTCAGTGTCCTGCTGAGGCCTCCAAGCTGGCGGGTTGACCTTTGCCCCGTGAGCAGTAGAACCCACAATGTCCACCTCACCTGGCTTCCCAGGTTTACAGAACCTGCCTCCCACTCCCACTGACTGCACTTTGTCATCGGATTCAGAGCAGCACTGTTTGGAACATTTTTCTTCACATATCAGAAGTAACAACTTTTCTTTCTCAGCGTTTGTGGTAGTTGGGGCCTAACACGCCTCCTTTCTGATACCCCCTCCCATCTCTCTTCCCAGTTCCTACCTACTATCATTTATTTCACGCTTCATTTGTACTTTGGGATTCTTGCATGAGAGAAACCCCAGGATATCTCAGTGTCTGGTTTATTTCCACTGACACTGTCTCCTACAGGTGTGCTGAATCTGCAGGCTTCCCTGGATACTCAGTCTTTAGGGCCCTCCAGTTCACTTCAGGCTGCTCCTGGACTTCTTGGCTCCTGTCAAGGTTTATGTTGGTGGCCCCCAGGCCGCAAGCATTTGCATTGTGCATTTGTGATTGGTTCATTGTCTAGAGCTTGGATTGGGGGTGTGAGTGCCACACTGGCCTTGGGGTGGAGCCAGGATGTGATGTCATGGCAGGAAGGTGTGTCTTGCTCTTGTGCCAGTTTTTGTTTTGCTATTTGCAGCCCCCTTGAACTGCTATCCCGCCATGCCACCCTGCCTTGGAGCCAACTGAGTATGGACTGAAAGCCCCACAAAAACTGTAGGAAATAAACCTTTCCTTTCCCAAATTTGGGCTTCAGGTATTTTGTCTAAGACAGACCCTGAGTACTTTACCCGTGAATAAAATTTGTAAACTTGTACTTTTACTCTGTAAGATAAAAAGCATGTAATTGTGCATGTGCGACATGGCAAATTTAAAAGATGCAAAAATGCTGAGGCAAAATTTACCTACAATTTCATCCGTCAAACAAAATTATGAAAACATTGCTGACTTTATTTACTTAGCTTCTCTATAGTTAAACCAAAATGCTATTACATTGTTTGTAGCTTTACAACTTGCTTTTTATCACATAAAAAATATTGTGAACAATTTAGCAGGTGTGAAGTTAGTTTTGCTTTTCTCATCAGTAGGAGTTTAACAACTGCAGGGCATTTCACAGTATGTGTATACTGTTATTTCATCACTTCCTCATTATGGAAAAGTTATGTTGCTAAATAACACTGCAGTAATGTTTATGTATATAAGTGCCCAAAACCAAGATTATGACTTTTAAATATTTAAAAAGTAAAGTTACCATATGAAAGAGAATACAAAGTTTTAACAATTTCTTTCCTAAAAAATGTCTGGTTACTTTTATACTCTTAGTCAACAAACCTGAGTCATACTTTTTTTTTGGTACTGGGGATCAAAATCATGAGCTTCTCATTGGCAGGCAAGGGCTTGTGCCACTGAGCTAAATCCCTGGGCCCTATACTTCTTTTAAACATTTACCAATTTGAAAGTTTTAAAAATTCAAATCCTCTTTTTTTTTTTTTGTACCGGGATCAAATACATGAACTTGCTCCTGCCAAGCGCTTATGCCACTGAGCTAAATACCCAGCCCCAAATCTCTTTTAAATAAATACATTATTGAGTAATATAACTTTGTAGTTTTGCATTTTTGTTTCTTATACTTTTTACTTATCTTTTTCTTTTTGATATATAAACTTATGTATTAATCATATCAGTTTTTCTTATATATGCTGTAATTTTATTTTCCAGGTTATTAATTTACCTTTTAGTCTTATTTATGGTGTTTTTGACAATAAAAGTTGCAACACTGAAATAAGGTAAACTATTTTCTTTATCATTTATATTTCAGCTTTATAAAAATTTTCTATCCTTAATAATTACTATTTGTGGTAATTTTTAAAATTTTATTTAAAGAGAAAAAACAGTAAAAGGGTACAAGTAAACAGAATTTCAAAAAAAAGGTAAGAAATCACTAGTTAATAGATTACATATTGTCATCTTAGAAATAGTTGTTCAAGTTACAAAATTAGAGCATACAAAGTGGACATTCAAACATTGAGACTGCAAACAGTTGTGTTCAATGATCCAACAAAATCTTAATAATATGGTCATCTATCTTACACACCGAAACACACTTGCAGTTGTATCCTTTACAGCACTTACTTTTCCTCTCTTTTTTACAATAGCATTAACGTATTTTGGGTTTTATTACTCCCACAGTTCTCAGTACTTTTTTATTGGAAGAGAATAAAACTAAATGTGACAAAACAAAGCAGTCAGTCAAAATAAGGGATGGACATAGTACATGATGTAAAAACAGAATACCAGGTGATCAACAATGGTTACCATTATGCCTCTCGCTACCTTAAAAAGTATTGCCTATATCATCAGGTATAATAAAATTGAACAAAACAGTACAGAAGAAAACCAATGAAACCTAAACACTGGAGACATTACTGAACTTCAAAAGAAGATGATAGTCAAACCATAATGGGCATCATAGTGAATCTTCTTGCCTTCAAAGTCATTGCCTATACCCTCAAACTTGATATTATCAAACAGAACAGAATAGAGTAAAACCAGTCAAAACAAGATGGTGAGAGCAATACAGGGCTTCAAATCAAGTTAATAGGAAATCAAAATTACTATAATATATCCTGCTAATTTTTAAAAATTTTTTCCCTTAATTAAAAAAATAAATTTTAAAAAGGGGGAGATTGAGATAAAAGAGGGCATAACAACATAACAATACAGGTCAGAACAGAACAATTTAAGCAACATAGTGTTTCACCACAAGATAACCTAACTTAATAGTAGTTACCATAGTGTCTCTTTTCTTGAAATATTTGAATATAACTTCGTATACTATAGCATCAAACATATCAAGACAGTGTGAAATCATTAAAGAGAATGAAAGTATTAAGGGTATTTACAACCAGCTAACAGAAAATGAACAATGGTTTCTATATTATCTTTTTGCCTATAAAAATTTGTCTATACTATTACATATAATAAAAACCAGTAAGGTACAACATGATGAAACCAATGGAGACAGAAGAACAACAGTTTGATGGGACTTCAAAACAAGATGATATTAAATCAGCACTAGCTGTTATGATGTCTTGTTTTCTTCAAAATAGCTGTTAATATCATCACAGACAATAATATCAAACAGCCCAGAATAAAAACATTCCAATTAATGAGTGAAACTTTATAAGGATTCAAAGCCGTATAATGGGGAATTACGATTACCACATACTTTTATGTATTTGTATAATTTCTTACACAAGGGAAACTACTCGGTATTCATACATGTGAGTTTCATTTATTTTACTTATGCGTATGGTCTCAAGCTGTGACCATTTATTTATAAATATCTCAATGTGATCCTTCTTTATAGCTAAGTAGTACTCCATTGTATAAACCACAAAATTTTTTATCCATTCCTCAGTTGATGGACACTTAGGTTGTTTCCAAGATTTGGCTATTACAAATTTTGCTTCTTTAAACATGGATGCACATATATCACTGTGGTATGATGTTTTCAGTTCTTCTGGGAATATGCCTAGAAGTGGAATAGCTGGAACAAATGGGACTTCCAATCCCAGCTTTTTGAGAAATCTCCAGACTGACCTCCACAATGGTTGCACCAGTCTACACTCACACCAACAGTGCAAGAGAGTTTCTTTTTCCCCACAGCCTCTCCAACATTTGTTGTTGGTGGTTTTCTTGACCCTGGCCATTCTTTCAGGAGTGAGATGGAATCTCAGTGTGGTTTTAATTTGCATTTTTCTAAGGACTAATGATACTGGACTTTTGTTCATGTATTTATTTGCCATTTGTATTTTTTCATCTGAGAAGTGTGTAGTCATCTCAGATTCCCATTTTTGGATTGGATCTTTGAATTTTGGGGTCTGATTTTTTTTTTAGTTCTTTATACATTTTAGACAGAAGTCCTTTGTCTTATGGACTGATGGACAGTCCCCTAACATTTTTTTCCAGTTTGTGGGTTTTCTTTTCACTATTCTGGAGATTTGTTTTCACCTGCAAAAACTTTTTAATAAGACATGATCCCAATTATTGATTCTGGGAAGTATTTCCCATGTGGTTTGAGTCCTGTTCATGAATTCTCTACCTACCCCATGTCTTCAAGGTTTCTATCCAATTTGTCTTCCAATAGATATAGTGTTTATGTTTTAATATTCAGATCTTTGATCCATTTAGATTTTAATTTAGTACATGGTGATAGACATGGGTCTAGTTTTAGTATTCAGCATATGGAGAGCCAGTTTTGATTTCTTTTGACTGTAGATTGTATAAATAAATTTTTGTATGTTGATTTCATAACTTGAAACTTTAGTGAATTCATTTATTAATTATCACTCTGTGTGTGTATGTGTGTTTAAAATCTTTGAGTTTTCTACATATAGGCTTATGATACCTACAAATAGAAATATTTTTACCTCTTCCTTTCTGATTTGAATTCTTTTTGTTTATTTTTATTATTTGACTACTCTTGCAAGAACTTCTAGTAATATGTTGAACAGAGTGATGAGAGTGAGTATTCCTGTCTAGTATTTGTTACATGGATGATATCAGCACCTCCAAAGAGGTAACGGAAATATTCCAACCTGTTAGATATCTGATATACTGAGCTCATGGTCTCTAACAATTGAAGAATGAATTCTAGGAACAAGTGAATTTAAGAGTATGCAATATTTATTGAGAGGTAGAAAGCTCCTGTCAGATGAACAGGATGAGGCCTGAATGGGTTACCTGGGACCCCAGTTTACAGGGAAATTTTATAGGGCAGTACCCATGTGGGTACAACTTGAGTTACAGCTATGATTAATGAATAAAAATAAAAGTAGAACTGCTCAGGTAATAGTGATTCATTGGGGAAACAAGTCATGTAAGAAGGGTGTATGGAAAGAAC